AGCATTCAGGAAAACAGACTCCTGGAACAGTATACAGATATGTACATGTGTACATGTATTTATACAAACATATAATTCAATATATACCAACATATATCAATGTATATATGTAATGACAATATTAGATAGGTTGGGCAAGTTGGGAGTGAGAATTAAGGAAAAGAAACCTGTTACAACTGGGTTTCGTGGCTCACGTCTGTAACCTGAGCACTCATGAGGCTGAAATGGGAGTTTGGCCACTTGACTGAGGCCAGCCTGAGCTGTAGAACAAGGCCTGGGTCATCCTGCGTTCCAGAGGGAAGACCTCTCTCAAAAAACAAGTGGCTAGAGAAAATGCACCATGGTCAAGATCATCTGTTCTAAGCCCAGGTGCAGTGGCGAAATCCTGTCTCGAGAAAACAAACAAACAAACAAACAAGAGCACACCCTTTTTTGCAGAGGACCCAGGTATGGTTCCTGGTACCTCCACGGTGGCTCACAACCATCAGTAACTCTAGTTCTACTGGATTTCATATCTTCTGACCTCTGTAGATGCCTGCCACGCAGGTGGTACACACACAAATGCAGGAAAAACATTTACACAAACAAAAAGCAAAAACCAAAACCACCATCCAAAACAATTAGGGAAGATGTGTTTGCTAGGAGTGCCTCAGATTACCTGGCCCCAAAGGGACAAAACTCAAGAGCAGAAATATACAGATTCCACACTTAGGGGGTAGAGGTTACTCTTTAAGGAACTGAAAACACACGTATGTGTGCAGACATGTCTCAAGGATGTGGGAAATTGGAATGTTACCAAAGATCTACCTTTAAGCGGCCTTTGTCACACACTATGACAGTATGTCTGTAGGTGTGCCCCAAGTTGACATGCTTTGTTTTGTCTTTATGGGACAGGGTTTCTCTGTGCAGCTGTGACTGCCTCAGGCCAGGCTCACAAAGATCCACCTGCCCCCCTGAGTGCTGGGATCATAGGTGTGAGAAGCGTGCCTGGCTCGAGTCATGCTTTCTAGTAAACCTAGAACAGCTCTTCCAGAGAGACCCCCAGGCTGGGCCACAAAGTTGTCTCCTCTAATCCCAGCACCCTCCAGGAGGCAGAGGCAGGCAGATCTCTGAGTTCCAGGTCAATCTGATCTACAATAATGAATTCCAGGGCTACACAGAGACTCCCTGGCTCATGAAAGCAAAATAGAACAAATAAAAACAAAAACAAAACTCAAAACAAAAAAGCCGAAGAATGATCTATGACAGGTAATTATTAAAATGAGGCAATTATTTAAGTGAGGTGAAGACTAGTTATTTTCTTCTGTGGTTCTGTAGAGTCTCTCACATGAGACTGAAACAAGTCATATTTCAATGCTGTCTACCAAGTCTGTTAACAACCACTATGGTTTATTGGGTTTCCAGATAGTTACCAGCATTAAGAACCAGCTCTGAATTGCCGAGTAGTATACATGTACCACCATTTCTGCAGCCATTCCTCACCTGAGGGACATCTGAGTTGTCTCCAGATTCTGGCTATATCAAATAAAGCTGCTATGATCGTGGTTGAGCAGATGTCCTTGCTGTATACTTGAGCATCTTTTGGATACATGCCTAGGAGTGGTATATCTGGATCTTGAGGTAGCACTATTCCTAACTGTCTGAGAAAACGCCAGATTGATTTCCAAAGTGGTTTAGTTTGGTTTTGTAAGAGAGGGTTTCTCTATGTAACAGAGCCCTGGCTGGCCTGGAACTCCCAGATATCTGCCTCCTCTACCTCCTGAATGCTAGGATTAAAGGTATAGGCTTTGTTGCTGTTGTTTCGAAACAGGATTCTTCAGTGTAGCCTCGGTTGTCCTGGAATTTGCTATGTGCTACCTACATCTTTAATTCAACCACTTTTGAGGCTGAAGCAGGAGGATCTCTAAGTTCAGCGTCAGCCTGGTGTACTAAAAATGAAGCTGGAGAATTGGTTCAGGGGTTAAGAGCACTGGCTACTCTTCCAGAGGACCCGGTTCAATACCCAGCACCCACAACTATCTGTAACTCCAATTTCAGAGGCTCAAACACACCCACACAGATAAACATGCCACCATGCAGGTAAAAACACCAATGCACATAAAAATGAATAAGTCATTTTTAAAAGGTTTCCAAAGAAGAAAGGGAGAAGAAAAAAACAAAAAGGAAAAAAATGCCAGAATGTATTTTTAAATCTAAGCACTTCCACATGTACTTTCTATTTCTTTTCTTTTAAAATGGTTTCTTGGAATCAATATTATTGCATTTGTACTTAATTTTTGTTCTCATCAAATGTGTATTTTCTGACCATATAAAATTTTTTCATATAATAATTCAAATATATAAATGACACTATTTTTTTCTTTTATTTTTTTTTTAGAAAAAAATTTAAAAATAAACTAAGGTTACTGTTCCTTCAAGGATAAAAAAGGAACCAGCCCTTTAACCCTCTAAATATTTATGTTTTGTTTGTTTAGTTGTTTGTTTGTTTTTTTCAAGATAGGGTTTCTCTGAGTAACCTTGGTTGTCCTAGACTCACTTTGTAGGCCAGCCTGGCCTCAAACTCACAGAGATATCTGCCTGCCTCTGCCTCCCAGAGTGCTGGGATTACAGGCATGCACCACCTGTCTTCTAAGTATTTACTTAACCACAAATCGGTGCTTGAACATAGTCTTTCTTTTCCTGGCTTCTGCAGTTCCCTGTTCTCAGAAAAATGCTATCTTCCACCTGAAGCTGGGCACCATCTGTCTTAGACTCCAGCACTCTTACTTAAGATTTGCCAGAAGCATCTCTGTTGTCACTGTGGACAGTGAACTTCTGCAAAAGAGAGTCTGTCACTTGGAGCCTCTCAGCGGAGCCCTTAGCTCTCTACTCAGCGTTCTTCTGAACTGCCAGTGATGCTGGCACTGTAACCAGACCCCTTCCATACTCCCCCACTCCCTGCTTTCTGTGTGCTCCTGTCTCAGAGTCAGCCATCCCTCAGATCTAGTGTATTGTGCATGGCATAGCCCAGTTTGCTGTTTTATTTTGGTCTTGAGACAGGGTTTTTCTATCCTAGGAAGGGTTCAAAGCAATTGAAAGGTTCAACCTAAAAAAGTGTGCCGAAGTCTATCACAGTAGCCAACATCCGCAGCAAATACTCAGCAACTAATTTCACATGGTCTTCAACTAGAGGGGAGCCTGAGGAGGAAGGATCCCGAGTTCAAAGCCAACAGGGTGACATGGCAAGCCCTCAACTTAAAAATAAGGAAAAGGCAGAAAAGAAGATGGTATGTGGCTGGCATTTTCCCAGGAGAAAGACCTCCAAGTTTCCATCAGATTTTGGAAGAATAGGCAGGGTTTCTCTGTGTAGTCCTGGCTGTCCTGAAACTCACTTTGTAGACCAGGCTGGACTTGAACTCAGAGATTTGCCTACCTCTGCTTCCCAGTGCTGGGATTAAAGATATGAGCCAACATTGCCTAACTTTGAGGAATAAGAACACCTAAAAGGACTATTACATTTTTTCTAGCTGTCAAAAACAACCTGCACTTGAGCCTCACAGAGTACCTTCAAGGCATTTCTCTTCACCTTCCTTTCTTTTAGGAAGATCTAAAAAAATATTTATTTTTATTGAAAACAGACTTTCTTCATACAATAGTTTCTAGTTACAGGTTCTCTTCCCCCCCCCAAACTCTTCCCAGATTCTCCTCATCTCCCAAAAACATACCCTTTCATGCTCATTGATTAGAAAACAGGCATCTGAAAAAGAAAAGAACTAAAGAAAATACACAAGAAATATATACAGACACCGAGAGACACACATTCACATACACAGAAATCCCAGAAAGCAAAATAAAAACCATAATATATATGTTAAAGAGCTGTAAAGTTAAAAAAAAAAAAAAAGGTTGAGAGCTTAGACCAAGTATAACTCAAAAGACCACTGAGCTAATTGTGTTGGCCATTTGATGCTGGGCAAAGGGTAGCTTCACCCCCCTTAAGAGGGTTTGTATACTCAGAGACTCTGCTGGAGAAAACTAAATTTTCCTTTTTGAGTGGTTCTCAATTGGAGATAGACAGCACCTGGGTTAGGATGGGTGCTTGTGTCTACTTCCCTCTCAGCGTCCCCCTCTGGCGTAGACCTGGGTTGCCTCTGCACATGCTCCAGTTCTGTGAGTTCACGTGTATTGGTCATGCTGTATGCAGATCTGATTTCCTTGGTGTTCCCCATGCCACTGGCTCTTAGGAAAGGAAGATTGCCTTTCCTAAACTGGAATACAATGTTGCATCCAAACACAGGAAGCCTACTCACTACCCACACTAAAGAAGCTTTGTAGAAGCTTTCTGATGGGTTGATTGCCATAACCTTTCCTCTGAGACCAGGTCATTTGTAGCCCAGGCTGACCTACAACTCAGTTTGTAGCTAAGTATTTCATATACTGCTGATCCTCCTGCCCTCACCTCCCATGTGATTAGATTACAGGCTTGTGTCCTCCCCACCTCCCATGTGATTAGATTACAGGCTTGTGCCCTCCCCACCTCCCATGTGATTAGATTATAGGCTTGTGCCCCACCCCCAGTTTTATGCAGTGCTGGGGAATGAGCATGTTAGGCGCCCTACCAACTAAACTACTTCTCCAGCCTTAATCAGTATCTTTGTGGTTTACTTACAGAATTGTTTTATTTTAGTTTTCCGAGAAGGGTTATCACTATATGGATCCTCTGCCTCCGCCCCGAGCATGGAGATTATATGAGTGCACCACCACACTCTGCCAAAATGCTAGTGTTTAGAATGTTCTTGTTCTTCCATTCATTTAAAATACTAAAGCCTGAGACAAAAGACAAGCCTCCCTGGAGCCCTCCAACTTTGTTTCTTCTCCAGCCCTCCTTCCCCATCCCCAACCTCAGCACCGGTTTATTTTTCCTCTGGCCTTTCCTCTGTCCCTTGAATTTGCTGGATCTCCATCCTAGCCATTGTTCCTTCCCTCCCCTCCACTCCTGTTTTTCAAGACAGGCTCTAGCAATGTTGCCCAGACTGTCCTGCTATTATGAAGCTCAGACTGGCCTCAGAGATGAATGCAATCTTTTCCTCAGTTGCACAAGTATGAGCAGTACAGTTGCCATGCTTCAGCTTCATTTGCTGAGTTAGGATCTCAGCTTTGTTGCTTAAACTGACTTTAAACTTGAAGTCCTGCTCTCTCTCTCTCTCTCTTTTCTTTCTTTCTTTTTTTTTTTTCAAGACAGGGTTTCTCTGTGTAGCCTTGGCTGTCCTGGACTTACTTTGTAGACCAGGTTGACCTCAAACTCACAAAGTTCTGCCTGCCTCTGTCTCCCTGAGTGCTGGGATTACAGGTGTGGGCCACCACACCCAGCTGAAGTCCTTCTTTCTGTTACCCAAACATGGGATTACAAGTGTGCCACCAGGCCCAGAGGCTATGACTCCTTATTTGTATGTTTGTTTGTTTGTTTGTTTGTTTTGTTTGTTTAAGACAGGGTTAGTCTAAGTAGCCCTGTCTGCCCTGACATTCTGTAGACCAGGCTGGCCTTGAACTCACAAAGAGATATGCCTGTAATCCTAGGAGTGTGCTATCATGCCCAGAGCTATTCTATTTATTTCTATTTTAAAAATATATTATTTATCCTCATTAGAACTTTTAAAAAGATTTGGCTCTTAGACACCGGACAACGCCTACAGAGTAAAGAGCTCTGAAATACATTTTTATCAAATGAAAAAAAGTAAACAAATCGGGTGTCTCAAAAATGGGTGAAGACTTGGTGGGGTGTGGGATCCAATAAAAATAAATCAACATGAGTGATTAGGGTTCTATTTTTGTTACTTTAACGTCTGCTGTCAAGAAGAGGAGCTGTTACATCTGCATGACAAACCGTCGATAGGAGAACAAATGCCACGTCAAAGGTGAATGCACGCCCTTCTCAATCTCCCCACCCAGAACGTTTACTGAAAATCTGGTTTGGATTTGCCCGCTGGCCAATTGGGAAGGCTCTTAAAAAGGTGCCGGGCAGGTTGGATGAGAGGATGCCAGAGGAGAAGGATTCTGTCTGCGCCGGGCACTGTGTCGGACAGGTATGTGAGCTGGATGCTTGGGGAGGGCAGCACCAGGGAGATCGGCCTGCCTCTGCCCCCCAGAGTGCTGGGATCCCAGGCAGGCACCACTGCGCCCAGCTCCACATTATTTACTAGGTGTGAGTTTTGCCTGTGTGGATGTTGGTCTGCAGCCCAGAAATACCTGGACAGACCAGAAGGGAGGGCGCCAGGTTGTACAATGCCATACATGTGCTAGGAGTGCTCTGGAGAACCCGCCAGAGCGGATAGGGTGCAGGGCACCTAGGTCGTCCAGGCTTGTTGAAAAGAGCTTCTTACCTCATCTTTTTTGTTTTTGTTTTTTCAAGACAGGTTTTCTCTGAGTAGTCTCAGATGTCCTGGACTTTCTAGACAAGGCTGACCTCAAACTCAGAGATCCACCACCTCTGCTTCTCAGAGTGCTGGGATTACGGGCCTGTGCCACTGTGCTGGGTGCCAGATCCTTTACCTGATCTTTTTTTATTTATTACAATTTATTCACTTTGTACCCTGGCTGTAGCCCCCTCCCTCATCTCCTCAGTCCCACCCTCCCCCCACTCCCATATTCATCCCCTAGTCCATTGACAGAGGAGGACCTCCTCCCCTACTATCTAGCCTATCAGGTCTCATCAGGACTGGCATCATTGTCTTCCTCTGTGGCCTGGTAAGACCATCTCACCAGGGAGAGGTGATCAAAGAGCAGGCAACCAAGTTCATGCCAGTGACTGCTCCTGCTCCCCTTACTAGAGAAGCCATTTGGAGACTGAGCTGCCTATGGGCTACATCTGTGCTGGGGGTCTAGGTCCTCTCCATGCATGGTCCTTGGTTGATTCATCAGTCTCTGCAGAACCCCCTGGGCCCAGACTTTTTGGCTCTATTGGTTTACTTGATCTTAAGTCTGCTTTACCCCCTCTTGACTGAACTGTGGGAACTAAGTTTTAGGCTGGTCATACAAAGCTGTGATGTCAGGGCTTGGGCTCTAGGTCTCAGAGGAAGGTTACAATGAATGCCCAAGTTGCTGATGTGACTTAGCGTGAAGAGGAGGCTGATTTGAAGGCCCTAGAGCAGGCTGCTCAGTCTAGAGAAGAGAGTGTGGAGTCCAAAACTGAGAGAAAAGATACCTTAAAAAAGGTAAGAAAAATGGGCGATTAAGAGATATAGGTGTGTCAGTCAGAGGCTCTGGCTTAGTAAATCAGAAATTGAATGGGGTTGAGGGGAGCATGCAGGAGTGGGGTTGGGCCCCGAGTTTGATCCTAAAGCTTTGGCCCAGAGAATGCTAACTATTACACATCCCTTCAGAATAATAGCCCCTGGTGTCTTACTGGCCACACCAAGAAATAGAATTAAGTAGGCACTGTGTCTTTTAAAAAAAATCCCCTTTGTAGCACTTCCTTAAAAATAGCTATTTAATGCAACTCTGCCAGTGTGTTCTTGATAGCGTCTTTTAACAACTGCAGTACTACTATCGTATCTGTCTTCCTGGTAAGTGTTCAGCTTATGCTTTCCTAAAACCTTTGTATTAACAGTGCCATTTTCTCCTTCGGGTGGTTGTTTCTGGGGCTACTGTCTCATTGTCTGTTTAGCCACAAGAAATAGAAAGGCCTTCAGGAGACTAGTCAAGTTTTCTTCCTTCCCTCCTATTTTCTGCGTTAGGGTTGTAACAGATTCTAGAGCATGGGTCGAAGAGCAACTGGGAATGGAAGCCCAGGCTTGAGGCGAGCCAGCTGTAGGAGCTGCGGCTCTTTACAGCACATGCTTTAACCAACCTCTGACTAAGCTCTCACGTTTAGAGTTCACAGAAACCTTGTTCTGGAGGGTTAATATAGAGCTTCTACTAAAATATTTCAGGCATCATTAAATATTTAGTTCGAAAAATACTGCAACCGTCCACACTAACTCGTGAAGTCGTGGTTGCCTACAAGCCACAGGTGGCTTTTAAAACTATCTAATATTGATAATATTCAGCTGGTGGGTATGTTTAGTGCATGGCTAAGATAGCATGGTGGGGGGGGACAGAACGATTGGCATGACCTTAAGACCAGTCTGGGCTACAGAATGAGTGTGAGGCTAAGGCCAGGCTTCATAGTAACTGTCAGAAAAAACAGACCACCAAAAAAGAAAAAAAGTTGGTTAAAGAATATAGCCTAAGCTGGGTGCACTGGCTCACGCTTGTGATCCCAGCACTCAGGAGGCCGAGGCAGGCGGATCTCTGTTTGAGTTCGAGGCCAGCCTGGTCTACAAAGCAGAGTCCAGGACAGTCAAGGTTACACAGAGAGACCCTGTTTTGAAAAAGGAAAAAGTGTAGCCTAACTGAATGTTCTTTAAGTGACCTGGTGCACAGATGTATTGTGATATGATCTCACAGTGTTATTTGGTATTAATTGCTAAATCTTTAACACTAAAGAGTATCACCTATGTTCAGAGGATAACAACGTGAGTTAACAGCCTGTTAAATGATAGAGTAATCCTAGTTAAAGTTCCATACCTTTATTTTATGTAGCTTTGTTTGTTACACCATTCCGCAAATCAGAGTATGAAGCACTGAACACATTCATCTCTGCGACAACTGGTGTTCTAAAGAAAACAGAAATCACTGAAAGGGATTTAAGAAAAAAGCAGATAATGTGAATCTTTCTTTCCTTAACATGGGGGAGGTACACTAACTCAGAGACCCTACGGCCTCAGCCTTCCAAGGGCTGACACCGGCCTTCACACCTGTCTGTACTAACGATGTGTGCCGGTGTCTGAAGGTGAAAGGGTTATTTTTTTTTTTCCTTTGAAGCTCACTGTTATAAAAAGGGGAGGAGTACTGAGGTGAAATTTTAAATTTCAAAACTTTTAAGTTAAAAGCATTCTGTGGTGGGACGAGACAGGTCTCACAGTCCAGGCTGGCCACAAACTTGAGGTAGTAGAGTGCTGGCTGGCATAATAGGCTTGCACCACCACACCCAGCTTATAAAGTAAGTGACCAGAATTCTTAACTATGTTCTTGAGATTTCTGCATTCTCGGTTAAGCAGCAAAGGTGCTAACTTCAGCTGTTTTCCCATCTAAGATGTCAAAGGAGCTGAGCTGATGGCTCTGCCAGCAGAAGTGCTTGCACTTTGGATCTCCAGGACTCATGGAAAATACTGTTTTGCTAGTTAAGTTTTTTGGTTGCTTAGGCACAAGCCAGGGTCATCTGAGAAGAAGAGATTTACTTGGGAAAATGCTTCAGTTAGATTGGCCGATAGGCGAGCTTCTGGATCGTTTTCTTGATGACTGGTTCTTGAGGACCCCGCTGCCACCCCTCGGCAAGTGCTCCTGAGAAGCAGGCTAAGCCCGCCCATATATCTCCTTCCTGAGGTCTCTGCTTTAGTCCCTGCCTCGCCGTTCCTGCCCCAACATCCCCCAGTGATGGACAGTGACATAGAAATGTTAGCTGAAATAAGCCCTTAAACCCTTCTTTCTAAAGCTAGCTTTGGTCATGGTGTTTTTTTGTTTCTTCTTGTTTTGCTTATGCTTATGTTCCTTATGCTTATGTGGCAAGTGCTCTTCTCACTGAGTCATCTCCCCAGCTCAGAAAATACTTAAAAAAAAAAGGCTTATTTATTTATTATGTATACAATGTCTGTCTGCATGTACACCTGCATGCCAGAAGAGGGCACCAGATCTGAGACAGGTCGAGGCAGGGTTTCTATGTAATCTTGTCTGTCTTGGACTCAGTTTGTAGACCAGGCTGGCCTCGAACTCATAGAGACCCATCTGCTTCTGCCTCCCAGAGTGGCAGGATTACAGGCGTGTGCCTTGGTGCCCGGGTTGGTCATGGTGTTTTATCACAGCGCTAGAGACCAAACTCTAGGTCAGCTTGTCAGGGTGGCCTGGCCTTCGTGGTCTTCACAGTGCCACTTGGGAGGCAGAGTCAGGGCAAGCTGGTTAACTAGACCCAATCAGCAAGCTCTGGCGCAAGTGAGAGACCCTCTTTCCCTACGGAAGGAGGAGAGGGGAGAAGAAAATACTTGGCATCAACTTCTGCTCTTTACACACACACACACACACACACACACACACACACACACACACACACA